CCACACACACACACACACACACACACACACACACACACACACAAAATTACTGGAGAAATGCACAAGGACACAATGAAGACAGAAATGGGTCACTGCTATTATGGAGTGCATTTTTCTCACCACACTGAATGTTACTGTAGCCTCTAGTGCTGACACTCTATTGTCTCGCGCGCTATATATATATATATATATATATATATATATATATATATTCCAAATATAAAAAATGTCTTAACCCTACAGTGACTGTGCATGAGTGACTTTTTCTATACATTATATATTTATTATTATGTTTTTATTTTATTTTACCAGGAGTTTGTGTTTCATTATGACAATCTTTTATCACGTTTTATTTGAAAAAATTTATATTAAAATTGACGATAAAAAGTGGGGGTTTTTATGCATTTTAGGTTAAAAAATATAGTGTATAAAAACTAAATGTTTTTATTTTATTTTACCAGGAGTTTGTGTTTCATTATGACAATCTTTTATCACGTTTTATTTGAAAAAATTTATATTAAAATTGACTTGATAAAAAGTGGGGGTTTTTATGCATTTTAGGTTAAAAAATATAGTGTATAAAAACTAAAATAACAGTCTATATATAAGTGAATTTTTAAATAATTTCAGTACTTCGGTACACTTACAGTAAGTGTTTCACTAATCAAAATGGTTCAAAACATGACATCATCTTCCAGGAAGTTACATCATTTTGGAGGGAAATCAACAACATAAATATCAAGTAATAGTAGTACGTATTATGAATGATGTCAATTATCCAAATAATTCTGGAAGTATTTTTTGGAAATATTTCTATGATTTTAAAACTTTAACCTTGTTTTTGTTTTTTTAACCCTACAATATAAAAGGGTGACAAATGTGTTCTTTTTGTGCATGTCTTGCATGAAATGATCATTCCAGCTCATGTCTTTCATAATGATAACTAGTTGTCATATTTTGTTTGCAATGCACTCCAGTCCATCAATTAACATCATGTGAAGCCAAAAGCTGCGTGTTTGTAAGAAACATTGGTGAGCAAGTGACGAAATGCTACATTTCTCCAAACCTGTTCTGATGAAGAAACTACATCTTGGACGGCCCGAGGGTGAGTGCATTTTCAGCAGTTTTCAAATTTTCAGCAAACTGGCTGAACTATTTCTTTAAGTGCAGACATTTTTGGAGAAGAACAATAGCAGAAAGTTTGAGGAATATCAGTAGAGCACATGTGAAATGAATTCAAGGCTTTAGTCGATCTTACGATACTCTTGAACGGTTCGCTGTGCAGCTCGTCTCTGTCCTGACTGCTCTGTAACTGTGACCGTGTCTGACCTTCAGTGTGGCTCCGTTGTTCCAGTGTCACTCTCCCATCTGAGCCTCTGAAACTCAGCCAACGCTGAACTCTTCCCAGAAGTCCCATCCCATGTCACTTTAGCAACATGTTCACCATCCAGCAGCTCCATTTGTGCCTGTAGGATCAGATTCTGGCCTTTGATTACACACAGAGACTGCTGGTTTGTGAAGTGGACGGATAAACATTGGCTGCTCCGGAGCCCTGCCGTTACAAAATACATCATAAAACATATAGTCATATCTCTAATTATGATTACACGAGCTTGATACTAAAGCATTTAGTCACAAAATTTAAATCACAAACACATGGCGTTGAGTTGCTTTTATAAACCTGTCAAAAGCAATATGAAATAAGACAACATTGTAAAAAAAAAATTATATAATAATTTATTTATTTATCTAACTGTAGACTGTTCATGATTGCAAAGACATGTAAATATTAAAAAAGGAAAAACAGAATCAGAAGGAGCTTTATTAACAAGTGTTTACACACAAGGAATTTTTTAATTATTTATTTTAATTGTTTAATTACTTTAATAATGATTTAAAACAGCACCAAGAGACTTTTTTGATTACTATCAGTGTTGAAAACAGTTGTGCTGCTTCATATTTTGTGGAGAATGCAATATACTTTTTTGAGGGTTTTTTGATTAATAGAACGTATAAAAGAACAAAAATGATTTGAAATATAAAAAGAATAAAAATAAAGACACCAACATTCAATAAATGTTACATTTTTTATATAATAATGATTTTAAATAATATAGCTTATTAATCTAACCGTAGACTGTTTATAGTTGCCAAGAAATGTTGAAAAACATTTAAAAGTATTATTATTAAAGTAT